CTGTCTCCCTGCCCTTCCCTTTCATCCCTGCATCGTCCCTACGGCGAAAGCCTCAGCGCTCAGCGCCGACACATACAAGGGCTGTGGGCAGAGCAGGAGAGGGCTCCTGGAGGGGAAGGCAAACTGTCAGGGAGACGCCACAGGGAGGACGCTGTGCAGAGGTGGGTAAGTGGGCCTGGAGTTTGGCCGTGAGGACAGGCAGGCGGGGCAAGAGCCAGAGAGCCGGAGCGGCCAGTACCTCGGGTGACGGAAGTGCCGGCTGCTACGGGAGAGTGAGAGGCCAGGAGGAAGAGGTCCGCGGCGCCAAAGCATGACCCATCTTGGGTGCCGGCAAGGAAGGCGAACGTTACTCTGAAGCAGCAGAAAGCCACGAATGGACTTGCAGCCACAGAGTCACATCATCAGTCTTCTGTTTCTGAATGATCACTCCGACATCACTGCCAGGTCAACTGGAGGGGAGTAAGGACGGCCTGGGAGACAAGTTAGGCAGTGTGGGCAAACCAAATAATAGTAATAATAATTAATAATAATGATGATGATGATGATAATGTGGGAGAGGTGGCCAACCTAAGGCAGCCGGCACAGAGAAGTACAACAGATTCCAAAGATCGTGGACAAGTTAGGCTTTCGAAGAGACAAAGAGAAAAGCGCCAACTCCCAAGTCCCCACCTTAGAAAGCTGAACAGTTGCTCCACGAGAAGATCTCTAAGAAAGGACACAGGTTTGGGGGAGCAGGTGAACAATTTGGGAGCCTGATCAGGCACAGCAGGTGGCACGGCCAGGTGGGGATGTCAAACATGCAGAAAGCTACGGGCCTGAAGCACAGTGGAGAGCTGGCCCTGGTGACACTGGTAGACTAGCGAGAGCTGAAAGTGGGGTGTGGAGGCACTAACCCCAAGAGAGAGTGAAAGGTGAAGGTCAAGGATACAACCCTGCGCAGCACTGACATTTAAGCAGCAGGTAAAGGGCACAGAATCTGCTCCGGAAGCCAGGTAGAAACTGCCCGTGAATGAACTAGCAGGACACTATGCTGAGGTCAAAGGGCACCCCATCTTCCCAGGTGTCCCTAATATAACCTCTAGCTCCCTAAGAACAGCAATGACTGTCTTCATAGCTTGAAGGATCTGCTCTAGAAGGAGGCTGCAACCAGACAGGGATGAAGATAGTAACTAAAATGAGACAGGCTGCCTCATTTAGGCTACATTTAGGATGCTGAGTCAAATCAATGTTAACTATAGTTACGTAACGCTAAATACATAATACCTTAACCAAGAAATCAGTTAAAGTAGTAGACTGAACAGACGGCGTAAGACTCACAAAGCATTCCGAATGCAGCCGCGGGAGGGACAGGTCGCATACCCCCTCTGAGGGCAGAGACGGAGAGAACTCCAACATCTGTATATCTCGCTAAGGCCCCTCCCTAAGGAAGCCAGCTTCATGCAACAGCCCCGGCTCTGGCGTCAAAGGCTGATTCCCAGCCGGGGTTGCCAGCTGCAGCGGGCGGGGCTCTATTTTGGGCTGCTGCTGTCCCAGGCCTGGCCGCGTCTGGTTTGAGCAGCATGCAGCCCCAGTGACTCACACACCCTTGCAAACCGCCTGTGGCTCAGTGGCATGGCCTCGGAATGCCAGCCTTGGGCCAGCTCCCTCCTCACCCCATTACACCGGGATAAATAAATAAAGAGTCCGCCAGCAGCCACACAGCCTGATGGCAACCAGATGGAGAGAGAGAAGCATGACAGGGCCAGGGGAAGGAACTCCCTCCAGTGGACTAGACTGAGATGGGCCATGCTGGCCAACTCCTCCGAAGCGTCCTGGTAACATGGCGCTCCCGCCATGCAATCATTGTCCACATGACTCAACTGGGCTCCCACCCGAAGCGCTTCTCTGCCCTTAGGCCCTGGGGATGCTTTCTATGGGGCTGTGCCATCTATGAGGACCTGGCCTGTGGCCACCCACCCAGCCCCACCTTGAATGGTCACTGCCAATACTCCCCCTCTACCCAAGCTGCCATCAGTTGGTGCATTTGGGCTCCCTGGAAGTGAAAAATCAGAGGTTCTTGGGGTGGGGGAGGGAGGAAGAACAAAAGGACCAATCACAGAGAAGTAACCCCTGTTCAATCCTTAAATATTTTTCCTGGCCTTATTCATCCAGAAACCTCCTGGCCTTCCACCCCTAGGTGCTCCATCTCTCTGGCCTCTCGCCGAGCAAATCCCAGCGAGAACCAGGACAAACAGACATGGGCGCTGACCACATGGCCCTCTGACATCAGCCCTGGCCCCCGAGTGCCTCAGCACAAGCTCTCTGCCCCTGGTTTATTTATTTTCCTGTGCTGCTTATTTTGATGGCACATCCTTTCCGCTCAGTCTTGGGTGACCCCATGACCCCTCTGTGTCCTGTTTGTAGGCCCCCAGGCAAGCAGAGTAACTGAAAAGAAGCAGAGGCCACAATTTCTACAGGCCTGGTAGGAAGAACGCTTGGCTCTAACAGCTCTGCAGGACAGTAGAAGCCAGTGTAAGAACCCAAAGGTCACAAGAATTCCACACTGTCCGAGCCCTGAACTGTCCCCTGTCAGCGTGCACAGCCCATTGGGCGCGAAACAAAGTGGGGATAATCCCGGACCATGAGTCAAGGGCTGTGGGAGTCCACACAGCCAGCTGCAGCTATCTGACCTTCAACAAGCCACTGCCCCTGAGGCCCAGTTTCTTCACCTACGAAGCTACAACACTCTCCTCTCCAAATATATTAAAATTCTACAAGCCTATGTGGTTTGAGTGTGACCCACCCAGTACCTAAAGGACCAGTAATCTTGAAGCAGTTGGTTCCAAAACACTAATGCCTCTCCCGGGTTAGAACCAAGGTTCTAGGACTTTCTCAGTGAACTGCAGGGTACCGCCATCCTGCAACTTCAAAGTAGGGGGGGCCTCCTATTTTAAAAGAGAAAATAGAGGCCCTCCCTGGGGGCACAATGGGTAAGGATGCAGCACTGCAAGCTAGCCACAGCTGCTTCAGTGCGAGTTCTACCCCCAGCCCCAGAGGTGACAGCAGACCTCTCCTGTCTCACCCTCTGCTCTCCTCAGCAGTTAACTTTGTTGATCTGCCTGTTCTGCTCCCCACTCTGTCTCTGGGGAATTCTCTCACCACCCCTGGCCTGTACCCCAGTTCTGTTTGTCTAAATAAATAAATAAATCTTAAAAAATAAAATAAGAAAATAGAGACTCTGAGAGAAATTATTTATCCAAACCTGTAAAATAAACCAGGAGAATAACCAAGAACCCAAATATAGTTCTAACAACCATAGGCCACACTGCCCTTCTAACTGCTCCCTGGCACAGACCTGTCAACATACTCAACCTCATGTTTATTGGGCACCTACTACTTCTAGGCACTATGTAGAAATACGTTCAGCAAGGCCCTCAAAGAATATAGATTAGTGAAGAGGAAAAACATGCTATGCAGACATATCAACAGTGGTGCTACAAAGTTCTGTGGTACAACAGAGGTATGAACCAAGGCATGATAGTAGCAGGTAAGAATTATGCTCACAAGGTGTATCTGGAAAGATATTCTGATTAAGCTAAAAGGGACGCTGAAAACACCAATACAAGTTACAGAGATAGAGACAAGACCAATGTGTGCAAAGACATCACAACTAGAGAAAACCACATTTTCAGCAATTCAAAGCTGCTCCCTACACGGAAGCATAAATACCTGAAGAAAATGGGCAAGGAACCAAGGCAGATGGGGATGCAGGCAGAGATCAGGAAGGGCCTTTCTTCTGGACTAAGGCTAAGTCCTGCTTTGTTAACTAGGGCTGAGCAGGTCGCATGCCAGCCCAGGTCTAGGTTAACCCCTACACCCCACGCCCGTGGGCAGGGGAGGCTGTCCGAGGAAGCTGGCCTGGGACAGCGCCTTGTGTGACAGGTCAGTCTAACAGTCTTTCCCACAAGACGTGTCGACCATTTTGCTTCAGGACTTAGAAATACATACTTTCCCTCTCCCCAGAATTACAACTGCTCCAGTACATGGACTGGATGCTCAAGTCTTAGGACTTCTTGTTCTTAGCATTAAGAACCTAAGCATGGATCACTGTTCCACAGGCAGCAGCAGAAGGGACGTTTCCAGGTCAATACGCCTGCTTGTGGGAACCGTGTGAAAGTGCTAATCTCACGTTCAGAAGACGTGTATGTCGCAGTCCTGCCTACGGAAGCCCACAAGCTCACCTAGACAGCAAAACAGAAGTGTGAGCAGACATCGCATATCACCGCAGCATTATTTACTTACATGGATGAGTCCCAGCCTGGGTAACACGTATAATTAGAAAGTAAGGCAATAATAGTAAGGTACTAAGTGTACAACCAACAAGTCCCAGAAGGGCTAGAGGAGAAGATCAATATTGACTGGCATTATCAAAGGTCACTATTATTAATGCCCCTCCTGTTGTGCATTGAGTTGATGTTTCCTTTGGCCAAGTTCAACCCTTAGAAGGGAAGCCTAGGCAGGAGCTTCTGACAGGCCACAATTATCTACTCCCCATTCATTTCTTTGCCAGCCCCTGTATAAACACTGTGATTTTCCACAGCCTACTATGCCCACAAGACAGCGCCCAGCTGGTAGCCTTGTGTGTTTGTTCTTCTACTGTGGATGCTGAAGGGACCTGTCACAGACTGGCCCTGGCACCACTGTCCAGACCTGCGCTCAGGTACCAACAAGCAAGACGTGAACACCTGGTCATCCAAGCTTTCAAGGTTAGAAATTCCTAAATCTAACAGAGCTGTTTCACAAATGTTCATCATCCCACTTTTGCCTTTTACATCCTCTTCCCCTCACCCCTCTTTCCTCCCTGGGCACCTCACAAGCCTTATCAGACTTTCTTTGGGCAACAGAAAAAGGCTCTTTAACCAGAGCAGCAAACTAACACCCAGATGCAAGCCACAGCTCTGGCGCCTAGGCAGGGGGAGTGACGGGAGGTGACCGGAGAAAGGAAGCCACACACACACTACCTCTGCCATAAACTGTTCCGAGAAGGAATCTTCTTCAAATGGCTCTGTCTTCAAACGATCTGTAATGAGAAGGAATAGAAAGAACTGTGAGTTGTACTATGTGCCTCCTACCTGCAAATGGAGAGGGAGAGGGCCTAAAGCTTCTTGGGGAAGATGGAGCAGCAGAGGTGCCAGGGCCAGAGGGAGGGGGTGAGAGCAGGTGGGCAAGTGTGGGAGAGGGGGGTGGCCAGGGACAGGACTGGGGGCAGCATGCGCCCCGGGAGCTTTTCCAGACGCCAAGGCGAAGGTCAGACTGAATTTTGATTCTGAGTGGAGCTATGCAGCTTCTTTGAGTCCCAAGCCGCGCTGCCTCTTACAGCTCTGTACTGCCACTGGCCCCTTGCCAAGACCTCTCTCTGCCACTGCATAGGGCATGTCTGGACTCGGTGACCACGACTGTTGTCCACTTGGGCACCAGCCAGGTACTCGAGGCAGAGAAAAGGGTCGCCTGGCATCGGGTCTCCAGGCCAGAGCCAGCACCCACCCTGGGGAGCGCCTCTCTAGCGCCTTTCCAGCCCCTGTGGCTGTGGCTATCTGGGCCACCCCCTCCCCACCCCCAGCTCCTCCATGCACATCCCCGCACCTCGGCTCAGCGCAGCCCCGCTCTCCCGGTAGTCCTGGAGCTCCAGGTCCTTCCTGTGCAGTAGGGTCACTAACTCCCTCACTTGGTGCTGCAGCGCCAGGCTCATGCCCATCAGAGGGCGAATCAAGTGCTGGGAGACCTTCCATGGGAAAGACATCCATTAGCCAGAAATGAATGCATGCAGAGTGTTCCTAGCGCACACTAGGCAGCAGAAAAAACACCGAAGAATTAATGTTTTCACCGGCACCTGGAGTGACACAGGGAGGCACCCCACTCCCATGGATGTAAACACATATATTATAATCGAAGTACATGAAGGGGGTTCAAGGGTTTCTCTGTGGCACAGATAAAATGGTGGGAATAATAAAAGATGCTCATGAATAGATAACCTGGAGTTGTGACTTCAAGAGAAAGGTGTGGTAGAGTTGATAAGAGGAAAGTACTGACTCTGGAGACAAGAGCAGAAAATAGGTGCAGCTAAGATACAATCTGGTAGCAGAAAACAAAAATCCAGAGGGAGTAGAGCTCTGAAAGTCCAACTAGATCCAAACCCAAATTAAGAGTCATTTCAGGGCTGATGGGAGCCCAGAAGCTGCTCAGAGTTTGACCTGTCCCACACATGCCGCAGTCTAAGATCAATGTTGTAACAGAAGCAAGTCAGCCACCAAGAGACAGTCTAGGAAGGACACACCAACCCCCACGCACACCTTGCTCTCAGCAAGGGGTAGGAAGGATGCAAGCGCAGCCGGACTGCGGTACAGCCAGGACGGAGCTCTCCCTGATAATGGATAGCTACACAGCATAACAACCGAATATGACCACACAAGGTGTCCATTAGCCTGTCAAAGAAAATAACTAAAATCAATCATCTATTTGTGGCTCAGGAGATTTTATCAGAGTTCCTTCCCCTTCCCCCATGGAGAGGAATCAAAGGAGACACTAGGAAGACATGTCCTAGATCAGAGGTCAGCAGACTGGTTCTGTGGCCCACACAGTCCCTGCCACACAGTCACCGAAACACGTGATCATGGAGGTGACTGTGTTCTGATATCACTTTGCCAAAAATGGCAGCCAGCCAGATCTGGGCCGTCACGACAGGGTGCCACCCTCTGCACTAGACCTGAAGGGTATCTCAGACAAAATACCCCACCCAGGCCAAAAGCCAAGGGCAGGTGCTGGAACATTCCATCAGATGTGCAAGCCACAGTCAGCTGCATCAAGACCAGACTCTTGAGACTGCATTTCCACTTTCCGTACGTTTCTAGTAAAGTTTACTACTACAAGCTCCAACTACACTACAGCTCAAACTGAGGAGACTTCTTTCCACATTTACCCAAAAACAGATTAGAAAAGGAGACAAGCTGGAGTTTTGTTGCCGGGCGGGGGATGGAGGTTAGGGCTGCATTGGCACCAGGAGCCAAGAAATGCAGGGCACTGGGGCACGTGAAGGCCAGAAGGCAATCCAGCCTAGACTGCAGCCGACTCCCAGCTCAGGTGCTTAGTACAACGGAAGCCTCAGTAAGCAGTGTTCAGAATGTGCCAGAAGTTCTGCTTTGGAAAAATATACCTGCTTTCGATCCAACCATCTGTCTTAGGGGCTGTTTGTTTTCTTTTTTAAAAAAAATATTTATTTTATTTATTTATGCATACAAGAACTGGGGTATAGGCCAGAGGTGTGGGGGGGCTGTGTGAGACGATTCACCAGGGACAGTGGGGAGCAGAATAGGCAAATCGACTGAAATACACTGCTGAGGGGAATAGCAGGCGAGACAAGAGAGGTCTGCTGTGCCATGTGGGTCAGGTCCCTGGCCAGGCATCAGGGATGAAATTCATGCCACAGTAGCTGACAGTGCTGAGACTTTAAATGCAGTGCCAATAGGGAGCCCCCAATGGAGTTGTTTTGCCCTGTCCAATGTAGATTAGGAGGAAAAACAGGTGAATAAATATACAAAAACATGCCTGTGTTGGTGGGTTGAGTTGAAAATAATTACCATTGTTTATCACAGGAAGAGAGGGAGAAGTGGGAAGCAAAGAGGGCCAGGGGTACCAGCGGATTAGGGCGGACACTATAGGTGCCTTGGTGGTGGGCTTGGTGTGGTGAACCTATACTTCTAAGTCATATACAGTGTTGTAAACCATTATACGATAAAAAAAAAAAGTAACAAAATTAAAGAAAATAAAGTTAATTTTAAAATGTTTTCAAGTCATCTTTTTTTTTAAAGATTTATTTATTTATTCATACAGAACTGGGGTATAGGCCAGAGGTGCAGGGGGGTGAGAGGATTCACCAGAGACAGAGCAGGGAGCAGAACAGGCAGATGGATGAAGTACACTGCTGAGGGGAGCAGCGGGTGAGACAGGAGAGGTCTGCTGTGCTATGTGGGTCACCTCCAGGGCAGGGGATTGAACTCACACCGAAGTGGCTGTGGCTAGCTTGCAGTGCTGCGTCCTAACCCTCTGCGCCACCAGGGAGGGTCTTAAATCATCTTTTAAAAAGGGAGTAGGGGGAGGAAAAGAAAATAACTGCCATTACTAACCAAGCAACATCTCCACGCATTTGGCGTTAGCACTCAAATAACAGAAACTCCCAACGAATCTTGGGTCCTCCCTGCTGGCTCAAGGGGTTAAGATACAGCACCATGAAGCTATCTGCAGCTACTGCAGCATGAGTTCGATCCCAGCTGACCCCCATGGCACAGCAGACCTTTCTAGTCTCATCCACTGCTCCCCTCAGCAATGTACTTTGTCAGTTGGCCTGCTCTGCTCCCTATTCTGTCTCTGGTGAAGCCTCTCACCATGCCTGCACCCTGGCCTGTACCCCAGTTCTGTATGCGTAAATAAAATAAATCTTTAAAAAAGAAAAAGAATAACCAGTGTCTCCTGCAAAGCCACCTCAACTTCTTTGAGTGGTGGTCAATAATATGACAACAGGAAACACAATGAGAAGCGGTTTATAGTCAATGCTACATCTAATAAAATAAAGTAATGCCACAGCAGGCACCGAAAATTATCTCTAGGATTTATATATATATATATAGATAGATAGATAGATAGATAGATATATAGATATACATATTGAATATATTTAATATATATGTAGGTATAATAGAGAATATATAAAATATATATATATCACTAGTAAATATTTCAACATCTCAAATAAATGGATTATGCCACTTTGAATCATTAGGATATAACGCACTTCAAAATCAGATGAACTGGCTCAGTCAGTTACTTAGAACAAGACAATGGCTGAAATAACAGATCTCAAAGCAGATTCACAAGGAAAAACCCCATGCTCCCTTCATTTCAGAGAGCAATATAAGGAGGCCACGCACATTCAAAGTCGATTCAAGAAACACCCACGGGGTGTCTACCACACGCTCTGACCCTGGAAGACCTCTGCCCTGAGAAAGCTCATAACACTTAAGAGATCAGGAAGTGTGGTGGATATAGAAGTTGCCAGTCTTGTCCAGAGGAAAAGCTATTTATAATTTCTCCTAAGACTTCAGATTTCCCATAGAAATGTTTACAAGTCATAGGCAGGAGAGAAGAATGACAGTTATCAATTCCAAGATGAATCATATCAGGCAGAGCTACAGTGAGGAAGGGAACAGACTGGGAGTTAGGAGACCTAGAGTTGGTCCCAGCTCTGACAGAAGCGAGATGTGAAAATGGCTTCATTCCAGATATTCTCGTGGTGCTTGTCTTTTTTCCAAAGACAATTTAGGAGTTGGAATATTTGCTCTAATAGGCCACGATCATGCTGCAGTTAAGTCATGTTACCTACCTCTTACACAGTCCTCGCGATCCACTTTATGGCTGCAGGTGGCACCTCCATTTAATGGCTAAAGAAGCCAAGTCTCCAAAAAAAATTCAGTAATAACTTGTCCCAGGAAACATAAATTGTCATAGTGGTGGAGTTCAGCTACAAATTCAGGTCTGCTGGTTCCAAAGCCTATGTTCTTTCTACCACAAAATAATGATTTTGGAGTGTCTCTTAGGAATCATAAAATGGTGATAAATTTGAAAGTCAAAATATGGAATAGCAAGAAATGCATTAAGTTCTAAAAAGAACAGAGAATGGGAAGGAGGAGATGAAGAGGAGCTGGCCAGAAATAGAAATGCGCTCAGTGTCTGGAGGCAGAGACCTGGGGCTTTATGTATTCCATAATGTGCTGCAGAGACCAAGAACATTAAATTATTAATGTGAGTACACTGGGCAGAAGAGGGAGGAGGATAAGGTGTTCCCCTACTCTGTATGGCGGTAGGAGTTAAGCTGCACAATTTCCCTGGAAGCCAGTTAGGTGAGAGAGATTAAAGGTACAAATACTCCCTGACTCAGCTATTCCACTTTTAGGAATTGAGTCATATGTTTATAAGCAGAAAAAGTACAAGGTTCTTCACTATATGGATCAACAAAACAATGGAAACAACTTAAGTACCTATTAGAAACAGATCAATTAAATAAGTATGGATGTACTCATTAAATAACATGCTATGTTGCCACTTAAAAACCTGAAGGAAAAAAGTTTTAAAAAGATGAAGTCAGGTGTTCTTGGTATACTGTTATGAATGATCTAAATTCTGTAATTAAAAGAAAAAGGCAGGCCCTCCTTGGTGGTGCAGGAGGTTAAAGTGCAGCACTGCAAGCTGGCTGCAGCCACTTCAGGGTGAATTCAATCCCCGCCCTAGAGGTGACCCACATGGCGCAGCAGACCTCTCCTGACCCGTCCACAGCTCCGCTCAGCAGTGTACTTCATCCATCTGCCTGTTCTGCTCCCCACTCTGTCTCTGGTGAATCCTTTCACAGCCCCTGAACCTCTGGCCTGTACCCTAGTTCTGTATGCATACATAAATATACCTTAAAAAAGAAAAGAAAAAGGCAAGGAACTGAACAGTGTGAAGAGCTGCCCCTTGGGGAAATACAACACAAACACACGAGCGAGCATACACATGCAAACAGACGCGCCAACATACCGCTTTCCTTAGGAACTTAAGATATTAGTAGTTGCTTCAGACAAGGAAAATGAGGGACTGAAAAAGAGGACAGAAATCTATTTTTATCAACATCTATCCTTAGATGCTTTGAAACATTTGAAAATGTTTGCCTTTTGTATGAATTACTCATTCAAAAAAATTAAAACAACTACAAGAATGAGTAACAAAAAGTATGCCTGTGTAACCTCACCGACACCAAGACACACACACACACACACACACACACTCACACAAGCCTGAGACAGCATCTGCCCACTGGCTTTCACATTTTCCCTTTATAAAGCTTCCTTCAGCTTTGGGATGGAATCCCCTGAGATGGCATCCTTCTTCTTTTAATAATAAACATCTTATGTTAACATAAAGCACGACTGCTAATCAATAGTTAGCCAACCAAGGCTCATTCCATTCTAAATACTGTCACCCGTTTTCTTATGGCAGCTCCCCAATTAAAGAAATTTGCCATTTACTTTTCTCTTTACATATTTTTTCAATTATGACATCATCATACAAGTATTTTTACTATAATCTTTCGAAGGAAGAAAACTGCTCAAGCCCATCAGCCTCCAAGGAGAGCTGCCTCCCCAATCTCACTGTTAGGAATTCCTAGCACTGTAAAACAGGACACGAGGCTCCACAGCCTCCCAAAAGCAGTCCAGGACGCCTTCTTGAGGGAGCAGCGCCTCCTGGCGGCAATTTTAAAAATTACATGGGTTTTGGCAAAACCCGTAAGCGATAAAGCAGGATGGAAAATTTCACAAGAAAATCAATTAAAATCAACAAATGTGAGGAAATACCATCTTGTAAGCACTTTTGATTGGCCTTTAAAATATATTTAAGAGGCATAATTCTCCTAACAAACAAGTGTAGCTTTACAGGGTTCAAGATCAAAAATAAACATGAGAGAAGCTTTTCAAAACCCCTGTTCTATTCACCCTAATGATGCTATAGCATCGCATCACCTCTGGAAACTAAAGGGAGATAAGTGGCAATGGCCGCTGCTCTCTCTCTGCTGATAAAACTGAACCCTGAAGCATCTCCTAGAAGACCCTCTCCTTTGACACCATCAATTGAGGCAACCTCTGTTTCTATAATACTCTGGAAAGGACACACAGCAGTAAGCACCTGCAAACCAGTTCTTAACATACCTATCAACTATTAATAACTAATTTCTAATAAAAGTCCTTGGGACCTACAGAGCTACAAGTCAGCGAAGGATGTTATCTTCCTAGTCCCTGAAAGGGGGTTTTCAAAGTGTAGTACCTGAAAGTCAAACTCCAGCTCATTCATCAGTAAGCTGATGACTCTGGACAAATCACCTTCCATCTCAGTTTCTTACTCTGAAAAACTGGGATACTAGTACTTATCCTGCAGGACAGTTCTGAGGATTAAGTGCTGAGATAATGTTCAAGGAAGACCTAACACTCGTATACACTCTACCCACTGCTGGTGTGATCTAGATAATTTCCTAATTTGGATCATGTTAAATCCCTGCTCACAATTTTTCAATGAGTCCTCTGTGACTTCCTCAATAAAACTCAAGCTCATGAGACTCCTCAAAGATCTGAAGATCTTGCATATCTGGCCACTGCCTACCTCATGCTCACGACTCCCTATAGTCACATAAACTCCCCACATCCACTCTTGCCTATAGTGACCTCTTTATTTTCTCCCCATCATTTCCTACTCATCCTGGGCTTACCTCAGGTAAAGAACTCACTGCACATTATCCTTGTTTCTGCCTGTCTTCCCACTAGATTATGAATTCCAGAAATAGGCTGTATGGTTTTAGGTCTGGACATCCAACAATTAGTCCATAATAGAGGCTTGATAACTGCTGAATAAAGTCATGATAAAAGCATCCAATAAAGCATGTAACCAAATTTGTTCCCGTTGCAAGGAAAAGATGTACCAGTCAAGATCCCTTTTTGTCTTTGCCTAGTCAAGGACAGTTTTCTATTGGAGAAAATCTTCAAATTGAGGTTGCAAAAAAAATAAATAAGAGCAATCAAAGCTTCACCTCATAGCAATGACAGCCCTTTCCCCACCCCAAATTCGTATCGCACTCACCAGAGAAGGACCGGCCAGGCTGCAATGGAAATCCCAGTAGAAAGGGAGCCCAGCAAGCTTACTCCGCACCCGCAGCATCAGAGTGTCTGCCACACGCTCACAGGAGAACGTGGCTTCGCAGGGACAGGAGCTGTCCTTCAACAACGGACGAAGCAGATCATCCAAACGACGGAGAAAGGCAGCAGGAGGGGCAGTCAGACGCTTGTTCAGTTCCTAAAAAGACAGCAGAAGGGCCCAGCGTGAGAGGGATAAAAGGAAACGATTCCCTCTAAGTAACTCCAAAGGAAAACTCTGCATAGCGTGAAGGCCGCAGGCATGGAGGGGGAGGAGGGTCTCAAAACCACCAGGCGGGAAAAGAAGGAAACAAAGAGTCACAGTCACAGAGATCAACTCACTTTTTCTCAATTTTGCCTGACAATACATGCAGTACGGAAGCTAATACACACGTGTGTGCACGCACACACACCTATATGTAGACTACTACAGGTAGAAGTGCAGGACATTACCTGGAATTCCTCAACCTGACTTGACCTTCCTTGACAACCTGCAAGCTGGTGTAATGTTCCTGTCCCCCAGCCTTCACGAGGAAAGAGATGCTGTCCACACCACCCTCCGGCCACACTTCCCTCGCACTCACCTTGGCTCGCTGGCTGACCACACTGGAGTCCACTTGTTCATGCCACACCTGCTGCAGATCGGAAACCAGCAAGGCATAGCCCTGTGTGGTGATACAAGCTTTGGCCAAGAGGGAGTCCTCAGCAAGCTGCAGACATGCCCAGGGCTGCATCAACAGGCCTTGCTCCAGCTCCTCCATCTGTAGGAGAATCTGGAATAGGAAAGTGGCCAGGGTGCTGCCAGCCAAGAGGGCACCACTCTCAGGGCCATAAAGTCCCAGATCAAATGAATCTTGTGAAAATCCTCCATTACAAACCAGAAGGTCTGGGCTGACATATCCTACCTACCTCACTCACCCCCATGTATAAGCTGCTGAACATCGACTTACCACCTCTTCACCACTAAAAATCTATTTAGAAATTTGAGGTTCCCCACACCACACTAAGTCCCTAGAGGGCATAAAATAAAATCTCTTTCCTCTCTAGTGTTTAAGTAACAGCATAGTTGATGTGTTTCTGCAACTAATAATGTTTAACAAAACAAAGACCTGAACCATTCAGGTTGTATCATTATCGTGTTCCTAACAACTATGTGAACACCATCCTTTCCCAGATCATCTAGGCACAGTTCTTGTCTTATTAAACAGAAGTCATAAGCATCAAGAATGGAAAATTTGAAGTATTTGATGATTATCTAAAAACAAAACTCTAGAATGTATCAAAATTTCATGCACGTGTGTTGGTGCATGAAGAACAGGGGTTCTTCATCTAGAGCCTATGCATATGAATCCTCTGGCGTTACATGCAATTTTGTTCTTATGTGAATATACATATTTGGGGGAAGAAGTCCATAATCATAGCCAAATGCTCAAAAGGATCAATGACACATCAAAGAGAATGGAGCAGAAGAGCCCATTTTAAAAAGGTGGACTGAGAGATCATGAACACAGGGCCCAGCACAGCACGAGGGTGAGATCCTGAATTAACCTCCACCAGCTCACCCCAACCCCTCCAGGCCCGGGTGCCCAGGTACACATCCCAGAATGCCTAGAAACTAACGTGCTTACTTCGACAGCTAAATTAATAGGTTTAACCTAGGAGATGCTCAGTGACTGTAGCTACTTGACAAGAAGGTTGATCATTTTTCCTGTGGGTAAAAAAAAAGTGATATAATCATTATTTCAGTCTAGAAAGACAAAGTGAGGGTGGGAAGACTCTTGGAATAATTTTTTTTAAAGATTTATTTATTCATTCATACAGAACTGGGGTACAGGCCAGAGGCTCAGGGGTGGTGAGAGGCTTCACCATAGACAGAGCAGGGAGCAGAACAGGCAGATCGACGACGTACACTGCTGAGGGGAGCAGCGGGTATGTCAGGAGAGGTCTGCCGCTCCATGTGGTCACCTCCGCGGCAGGCGGGAATCGAACTCAGGCGGAAGCGGCTTTAGATTCTCATTGATGTGCTTTAACCCGCTGTGCCACCAGGGAGGGCCCAACTCTTGGAATAATTTAAAAAAATAGGAATTTCTTAAATTTCATTAACATGGTAGACAGGCTTCTGTTTCTCCCGTCATTTTCCTTTCAATATGAGTCAGTTTTTGAAGCATGGGCTTGTAACATAACTTAATTTTTAGTCACTAGGTGGGTGGAATATGTAAATAATAATAATAATGACACATTTCCCGGTATTATTATTATTATTATTATTATTATTATTATTATTATTATTGCAGCTTCAAAACCATGTTTTGGGAGAATGGTACTCCAGTGACATTTCCCATTATCCATTCCACCAGAAGGGGCATTTAACAATGATTAAGCTTGTCTTCACTGGACCAGACAAACCCAAGCGAAGTCATCAGCCTTTCTCTCTCCGCATGGGCACCCCAGTATGCATTTGAGGTCACCGAAATTGGATTATCCTACTCTGTCATTTTGGCAAGCCTGGAAGCTCAGGACCCTTTTACTGTATGTATTGCAGCTTGTTTTGGTCTGGGGGTAGGGAGAGGTCCCACAAAAACAGGTTCCATAAAAACATCTGAGACCGGGCCCTCCCTGGTGGCGCAGCGGGTTAAAGCACAGCACTAAGAAGCCAAAGCCACTTACGCATGAGTTAGAACACCTGCCCCAGAGGTGATCCACATGGCGTAGCAGACCTCTCCTGCCCCGCCCGCTGCTCCCCCCCCTCAGCAGTGTACTTCGTCAGTCTGCCTGTTCTGCTCCCCACTCTGTCTCTGGTGAATCCTCTCACCGCTCCTGCGCCTCTGGCCTGTACCCCAGTTCTGCATGTATAAATAAATAAATCTTTAAAAAATAATCTGACACCAACAGTTCCAGACCTGGGAGGGCTGCTCCCACACCTGCTGAGTCTGGGGCCAATGAATCTCAACTTGTTCTTTTCATTCAACACCGCCTTTAACGACCCCACTAATCATATTTCCCCGTTTATTATCCCAGAACCAAGGGAGGCGAGCGCGAGGCGGCCTGAGAGAGGTCTGCGCGGGGACCCACCCCGCGGCCGTAGGGCGCTCTCAGCGCAGTTCCTCCGCCGTCCTGCAGAGGGCAGCAAGGCCCCAGCGCCCCTGCGAGCTGGCCACGCCCCGTCCGCCTGGTTAGGGGCAGATCTTCGCTTCCTTTACCGCTGCCCCACCCAGGAACCCTGGCGGGGGTCCACGTTCTATCCGCCCTCACTGGAAGGCCGTCCGCCTTCTATTTCTACTGCGCCAGCAGCGCTAAGGCGCGGCACTCGACGCCCTGGGGAGCTACGCCACCGCCCCCAGCGCGTCCAAGCGCCAAACAGCCCGCCCACAACCCTCAAAGGCCACGCCTCGCAGCCGGGAGGCGGCCTGCGCACGCGCGGCACGCGCGGCCCCGCCCACCCTCGGAGGCCTGCTCCGGAGCGGCCGTGGCGCGCGGGTCCTTTAAGAGGGGAAGGGCGCCCGAGCCCGAGCCAGGCCGCGGGGTCCGGGCAGCCCCTCCCCGCCCGGTCCCAGCTCCGAATCGAGCCTGACCCACCTACCGTGAGTGGCTGCGAGAGCTTCCACCCTCCTCACTGCAGGCCTGCCCGCCCGCGAAACCGAGAGGCCTAGAGTAGAGGCCGATTCCCCCCCCCACCACTGACATACGCGGGCGGGCGGGGTCTTGGGACACGGGGGCGGGGCCCCGGCCGCAGTGGGCGGGGCCTCTCCGCCCGGGTGCTGATTGAAGGAGTGTTAGGGGCGTTGCTGGAGGGGCAAGCCCGGGCGCGAGGACCTGCTGCTGGAGAGGAGCGGGGTGGTAAGGCTCCCTGGACTCGCGCCGGCCGAGTGGAAAGAATCTCGGACAGGGTGCTGAAGAGGGAGTCCGGATGTGGATTTGTGGTGAACTCCTGTCTCTTCCCTTCCCACTGCCTGTCCAATCTCTTTTTACTCCCCAGTAAATCAGGGGTTTGAACTTCCCTAGACGAAGCTCGCTGTCCTCACCAGCGCTCCGGTTTTTTAAAGGCATCCTAGGGATGAGCCCCATGGTCTGACCTCATCCTTTTTTTTTGGTCTCATTTCTCCCAAAACCCACCCCCATACTGATGCCCCATCACCACTAAAAAGCTTGAAAGACCTCGCTATGTACAATGAGCTGAATACCTGAGCCTCAGAATTCTCACCATCCATTTTTCACAACCGAAAATCCACATGTCAAACAAGCCCAGGTTTAGTACTGTTGTGGGAAAGGAAAGCCTTTCAGCTGCCACCCTCCCTGTCAGAATTGCCTCTTCCTCTTTGCTCCTATAGCATTGTTTAAATCGTTATTACAGATTGCTTTCTACTTTGTGTTTTAGGTAATAATGGCATAAATTTTCCTAACCTGAAAGTACCTTGAGCAAGGCAGAGATCCTGTCTTACGCTCTGGGAAGGTCCAGGACCATGAATGCCAGCAGCATCATTCATATTTATTGAGTGAATACTGGGATTCAAATGGCATTGATAGTTCACCAGCAGAATCATGACCATCTCAACCATGCTCCCCTGCTCTGGAAGTCTGGCCCAGTTACAAAAACCAATGTAGATCCTGGGAACTAACTCCAGCAAATTTGGGAGATAAGGTTAACAGACCTTGAGCAGAAGGAGGAGTCCTGGTAATTACTTGGACCTATGTTCTCTGTTAGACCCAGGGCACTGCTCCCCCAAACCAGGTAGCAAGTCAGCTGTCTCTCCTGGCTCAGAGGGCCCTCCTTCCTCATTCCCAGGGTCATCTGGCAGTGGACAGAGGCAACGGAGGGGTGGGGGGATGCAGGGACACAGGTTTTGGACAGGAACAGGAAGCTGGTACTCATGAGCAGCCTTCTCCCTGGACTTCTGAGGCACGCATGCATCTTGGCCAGTGAAGGGAGGTGGCAGCCCTTGACCTAGACCTCGCTCCAGTCGTGTTCCTGCAGAAGAAAAGTTGATTGGGCTGTTGCCCAACCTAGGGAGTGAGGACTTCTTAGACTCTGTTGGGAACTGGCCTCAACTTACCCGGGACGGTGTTCTCTAGAAGGAAGCCCAGGAGTCCAGCCAGGAAGATGGGCTCTCTGAGCAGTGAGCGCAGTAATACATCCAGGGGACTCCAGCCTACAGGGGGTTAGGGCCAGGCAGGAGGGGAACTCTGATCCTGTGCAAGGCCAAGGACTCTTATCCTTCCAGACCAAAGCCTAAGTCTGGATTAAGGACACATCTTTCTGAATTGTTGCTCCATCTCCTTCAACCCCCCACCCCCACCCCACCACTGTCCCTCTCCTCTCCATTTCCCGCACCCCACCTTCCCACAGGATCCCTGCATCACACCCTTTCTTCTAAGCATCCACATGCCCACCGGATAGGCTCTGATTGTTCTAGGCTCCCTTTCTCCTGAATATTTGGGATTAGAGGCCCCTTGCTCTCCACTTGTTACCTACTGTGTTCTAGCCTGGGTTTCTCAGCCTCAGTACTGCTGATATTTGGGGCCGCATACTTCTTTGTTTGGAGAACAGAGGTCGCCCTGTCCGTCTATTGTAGGATGTTTAGCGTCATCCTTCTCCCCATTAACTACCATCACTTCTCCCCTGTCGGTGACAGCAACAACATTGCCAAATGTTCCATGTAGGGCAAAATCACCTCCAGTGGAGAACCACGGCTCTTTGTTAAAGCGAGCTAATAAGCGCGCCTGTGTGCCGCTCCCCAAATATACCCTGTGACTTCCTACTTCTGTCGTTATGATGGCTCCACCATCCGAATGACCTTCTCATCCAATACGCTTAAATCCTGCCATCTTTCCAGGCCAGTTCAGCATTACTTTCTCTAAAATGTGGAAACCATCTCTCGCCACTGAGCACTGCAGCGCTTTCTCTTCTTGTTATGCCCCCCCACATCTCACCCCTTTTACCAGAATGAACCGTTTGTCAGCCCCTTGCTGTTCCTAAGGGGTTGCATGATGCTCACTAAGTGGACAAACAAGTGGACAAACTTTACACCAAAGCGCAGAGAAGGCTGTGACGCCAGGAGTCCAGAGAGCTGGAAGCCTGCAGCCCCCACTTTCCCGCTGCGGAGTACCGGTCCCCCGCTCCCCAATACACACACCTGTGCTCAGTAAGGTGGGAGCTTCTCGTAGCCATCTTGGCAGCAGCAGCGCCATGAAGATGGAGAAGCCGACATTGAAGACGTTCCTCCCAGAGTCAATGTCAGCCAGGTGGAAGCTGGAGAATCCGGTAGACAAAACCACAGCCTGGGTCACCCCCAGCACCCCACCTGTTTCATAGAGAAGTAATAAGGGGTTGGAGAGGGCTGACACAGAGGGGGCTGGTGCAGGGAGGGCAGAGTGCGATGGAGGGACCAGAGGACTCATTTCTGATTCTGCCAGCAGCCCCAGAAGCCAGGTGGAGGGGGGAGGGAGGGAAATGCACGGGATTATGATGATGGCACACGGGTGACTTGGTGATGGGAAACCCGTGGGGATTACAATTGAGATAGAAAAAAATGTACAAAATGATGTAAAAATAAACTTTTGAAATAAAAAAAAAAAAGCCAGGTGGGCTGAGAAGTGACGGCCTCTGTCCACATGTCAGGAGGCTCCTCAGAAAGGGTGCCAACCACAGCCAGTTGGGCTACCGGGGAGGAGGGTCCAGCTTCCCTACCGTTCTGTCTACTCACCAAATACAGGCAGCGGGATGGTGGTAAGCAGCTGGGCCAGCCTCGGGGAGAGCCCGAGCCCCACAGAGAACAGCCCGACCAAGTAAGCCACTCGCCGAGATGCAGCCTAGCGAAGAGGAGACTTTGGAAACAGCGGCCTCCTTGATCAAGTCTTTAGGCAGCCTGTCCCTCCTCATTCTTTGGGTTCTTCCCGTTCTGTGAGCCTTTCAAGAAGCATCTCAAGCTTTCTGCCTCGGGTCCCTAAGGGGTGCTTTATTCAGCCATGGTTCCACCACCTGCTTCCTTTTCTTACAGCATTTAACACTGTCTGAAATTACCCTACTTACTTCACTTCTTAAGTTGTCTGCCTTTCCCTTGGTCATGTCCCCAAGAGAACAGGAACTTCATCTGACTTGTTCTTCCCTGGACTCCTGCCCTAGTACAGTGCCCAAGGCGAAGAAGCTCGGCAGTGATTCAGGGTCCCCCCACACTCCCAGTCCTTTGCTGCTGTGAGGCCCCTCCCTAAATGAGATGGTGGGTGGAAGGTGGCTGGCTGCTGGGCACAACTGGCCATCGACCCTATGAGTGCCTTCTCTCTCCTGCACCTCCAGCTCCCCCAGCCACCCCCACTCAACGTACCTGAATAAGACTCATTGTGCCCACGTTGGGGAAACTGGATGCAGGGCCCATGGGGCTCCCCAACAGCCCAGCCAGCACACTGCCCAGACCCTCCAGGCCCAGGCCCCGACTGCAGGCATGGGGGGGTGGAGAAGGCAAATGCAGCAGCCGGCCACACAGGGAGTAGCAGCCCAGAGAGCTGGTGGAGGCTGCCAAGGCCATGGAGATGCCTGCAGCCAGCGCCCTGGGTGTCAGCAAGGGCCAGGCCCACTCCGCTGTGGAGAGAGAAGGAGCCACCGTGGGGCCAGACTCCTGTCTGGGGCGCCCCCCACCCCCAACACACACAACAGCCTGTAGTGGAAAGAGCCTGCAGGCTCTGTTGTCTTTGAAGATCATGCCTTGGTACAAGACTACTGGGCTCTTAGGATAAAGACTCATCCTTTTACTGTAGAGCAACTTTTTTGATCTGATCCTTCCTCCTCTCTCTCTGGCCTCATCTCCCAGTACCCCATCTCACTGCTTCACTCCAGGTGCCTTGTCCTGCTGTGCTGCCAGCCACCACTGCACCTTTGCAGAAGCTCTTCTCTCTTGCCTTCATCCAGTTGGGTCCTGGTTATCTCTCACATCTCAGTTTAATGAACAGACTTCCTTAGGAATACCTTACCTGGCCTTTCTGGTAATATCCAATTCCCCATTCTAAGGCTGCATCACACAATGTATCTATCTCCCTTTGTTACACTTACCACTTGCATTTTACAATTACTTTGGGTGACTGCTAGTATCTGTATTCCCCAATGGACTATAAACTCCTTGAGAGAGCTACTGTTTACCATTGTCAATCCTATTACGCGCCCAGCACATGATCGACACTCAAGGGACCTTTACTGATAAGTGAGCGCACTTCATAGACAGCGATGCTATGCTACTCCTAGAGCACTGACTCGGATGCCCTCAAGCTGAGGTAACATCAATGAGCGAACTGGGTGTGGAGAATTGAAAAGGCTGGGGCTTTCAGAAACTATAGCTGTCTCTTAACACCAAATAAAACACCTGTAGTGAGGACTAACACTGCCCCCACCCCCACTGGCAATCGCTCCTGTGTGTTTCAAAAATGTACATGCAGGATTTAACTCACAAATGAAAGTCACTAAATCTTGACTTTAAAGAAATAGACCCTTTTCTTTGAGCAAGAGGAGGACTGGAAGAGACTGTCCCTACCTGGATGCGGCAGCCACAACCACGGCACCTCGGTGGGAGCAGACAGCTCCAAGGGAGGGCTGCTGAGACCCAGCAGGGCAGACAGGACCCACACGCAGGCCACTGGGACCAGCACCTGAGAAGCAAGACTGAGCCAGAAAAGCCCCTCCCACAGAACCTTGCAAACTGTCCTGCAGGAGGAAGGAGACAGAGGCTAACAGGTAGGGGCTGAGCTAACATTCTATGGCAGCTCTTCTTACCTGGCAGCCCCTTCTCACCGCCCAGCCCCTGCCCAGACCCACCTACCGAGAGCAGCCGGAAGGCAGGAATGTGCAGCCGGAAGGCAGGAATGTGCAGCCGGAAGGCAGGAATGTGAGTGTGAGCTGAGGAGGTTGAAGCTGGCCTCCAGGGGCATGGGGGTAACTGGCAGGAACCCAGGTGCTGAGAACAGACCACCAGGAGCAGGATAAGCCTGGGAGAGAGAAGGTGCTTTAGGGACATGAGGACGCAAGGGGCAATGGAGGTGGAGTGGTAAAATACCATAAAAGGAGGCCCTCCCTGGTGGCGCAGTGGGTAAATGCAGCACTAAGAAGCTAAAGCCACTTCACTAATTCGATCCCCGGCCCCGGAGGTGACCACATGGCACGGCAGACCTCTCCTAACCGCCCGCTGCTCCCCTCAGCAGTGTACTTGTCAGTTGGCCTGTTCTGCTCCCCACTCTGTCTCTGGTGAAGCCTCTCACCGCCCCTGCACCTCTGGCTTGTACCCCAGTTCTGTATGCAGAAATAAATAAGTCTTAAAAAAAAACAACAACCATAAAACAGGACCCCAGAGAAGAAAGCCTCATGGAAGGGGGTGAACCTGGCAAGACACTGCCCTCTCCCGGCCTGCACACCCCACTGGTCACACACACGCACCTCACACTTCTCAGAACTTACGTACAGCAAGGCCAGGCCCCAGTGAGCAGAGCAGAGCAGAGCTACTTCCCTGTGGACAGAAAGCCCTGCCACCACTAGGCTGGGGGCCAGCACCAGGGGCCCGCAGTGGGGGAGCACATGGCCAGGACCGCCGAATAGCCCCAGCATGCCCTGCAGCAGCCCGGATACCACCACTGCCCCAGACACCTGGTGGGTGGAGGGAGCACAGAGAAAAAGCATTCTGCAGATTGAGTTGAGCTTAGCCTGGATCTTCCAACACATTCCAGGGTGGGTTCTCCCCCAAGGCTTCTCAGTCCCTCAAAATGGAAACCTGAGCTCCCCCAATCCCCAGGTGTTCCTTAGCCCTCCTGCTCCCTATCCTCTGGGACTTACTTCTCGGAGAGATGTGTTCCAGAGCTCCAGGCTGTGGCAGCCAGGCCCCCCACACAAGCGCAGCAGGGAGGCTGGGAAAAGTTGGGGTCATGGAGAAGAAAGGGAAAGTGGGACAGAGACCCATTACCCTATGGTCCCGGCTGATGCCTGACACCTCCAAGACCCACAGTGCCCAGCTGTCGCTGTCCCATCATTGCCCAACCTCAATCTTGCACCAACTTACTCCTGCATGTGCAGATAAGCCCCCAACCCTACCCTCCCCCCACACCCTTGCTCTCTGCTCACAGTTTCCAGGGGTTCGGATGGCCAGAGGTAGCTTCTGGCTGGTCAGCACCAAAGCAGGAACAAGGGACTCAAAGGATGGAGCCTGGACAAGAGGCAGCCTGCAGGAAGTAGTCCAGCCCATCTGGAAGTATGGTCAGCCGAGGACTCCCCAAGCTCCCCTACAGGCCTGAACCCCACTCTCCTCTATCCAGGGAGTCCCCCTCACCTGCTGCCCATTGAAGTTTGCAGAGCAGTAGACACGCCACAGGAAAAGAGACTGGAGGCCAGGAGCTGAGCAGGGGAGTAAGAAAGTGCCCCCGGGGGAAGATTTCGAAGAAGGAGCAGGTGGGAAACACAGAGCAGTGAGGTGAGGACCAAGATATGCTGCAAGTGAAGGAATCGGAAGGGCAAATCTTGAGAAATGGGCACAAACACCTATTTCCAGAAAGTTTCTTATGCCACACCTACTTCCCTCAAATAGCATCAGCCAGCCCCAACTAATGCCTCCTACCTGTAGAGCCAGAAGACAGCTGAGGCCCCAGGGCAGAGGCCCAGACAGAGACACCCAAGCGTGAGAGGGGCTGGGGGCAGTGGGTGCTGGGGGCAAAGGAGTCAGGGTCTCCCGGGAGCCCAGGGGTCGGAGTTGGACGGGCTCGGGGGGAGATCGGCTCATGCTCTCCTGCCTTTCCTCCTGTCTCGGCTGCCCTGGGCCAGAGTGAAGTAGTGTGAGTAGGAGGTCAGAGTTTGTGTGAAGTTAGCTGCCTGGAGTGTGAGAGGGTGGGGTGTCAATGAAGCGGAGCGGAGGGATGAGGGATTTGGGGCAGGACCAGGCCTTTCACCTTTGCCCAGCTCTTGTGCAAATTCCATCACCCATTAACTGTGGAATCATGTTCTGGACCCCTCCCCCAACCCCCCCCCCCCAAGACTCTCCATCTAGATCCTCTCCTCTGTGTTCTGGAAAGCAGGAAGGATGGGGAGAATTGTAAATAACCTGGGGAGATTTTACAGACTGCATTCCCTCTTCACCACCCCCATTTGGAACCACCTCAAAGGCACGGAAGATCTCAACCCTTTCTGGGCCAAGCCCCGAGACTACCTCACAAGGAAATGTGGGTTCTATCTGTATACCGTGCATAACAGAAGCTGTGATCACAACACTGTGTAATGTTCTCACTGTAACATAAGGGAAAATGAAGTTTATAGTAACAGGTGTTTTAGTTTGTGAAGGTGTGGACGTGGTCAGTGCCCACCCCCACAGCCAGGATCGCTGTGAAGTGGTAGTCCAGTGTCTGGAGACACACCTATCATAGGCCATGGGCGGTGCGGCCACGGGTGACCTGATGTTCCAAAATAGTGAGCTAGTTCTTGGTGAAATGCTAAACAAAACAAAGTACAGTTTTAATTTATACAGGCATGCTCTCCTGGAGAACTAAACCTTCACAATGTGAGAATCCAATTTTGCATTTACATGTAACAAGAATCAGATCGCTCTAGACTTGTAAACATGAGCAGGCTTCTCAATTACAGCTCTCCTTCCACTTACAACGGGTTTACATCCCGACAAATCCATCCTTAGCTGGAACAGCCGACACTAGGTGCTGCAGCTTGCTGACCCTGAGCAGCACCACAAACGCTGTACCTTGATTTCTACGGAATGCACATTGCTTCTACACCACCATGAAGCCAGACAGATATCAAGAACGACTGGACATGATATTCAGTCAGTCATGCAAAGGTTGCTGGTGATTTTTCATAATGTGGGGTGTCTCAGCGTTTCAGGATGTCTAGCATCCTGTTCAGGCTAACTAAATGTCAGCAGCACTCCCTCAAATTTGTGACCAAAAAAAAAAAATAAATAAATAAAAGCAAGCCTCTAAGTTTTTCAACTGCCCCCTAGGGGGCAGCGTCACCCCTCTGTGGATCACCCTTCCCAGTCCCAAATACCCTTGAGCCCAGTAGCCCAGAGCAGTTTTCTCTGACACAGATAACCCAGCCTAGAAGTCAGGATTGAGGCAAGCCCTCCGAACTTGCCCTCAGGGAGACGATGGGGCTCAGCGGATCAGGACTGGGCCCCTCTCCAAGGGGTGCCTCCCTCAGTGCCCAAGTAGAGCAGGGCTAGGGGCCCCAAGGTGCTGGGAGCAGGGGCACACCTGAGCCAGGAGGGGGCTTTGCCCATCAAACAACAGGGCAGTTTGGAAAAGCGGCTCAGAGGGAGGGAGTTGCAAGATGAAGATGGATCAAGAAGGGAGGCTCAGCACAGCTATGGGAGGAAAATTCTTCAAGGGCTGCCGCAGAAGGAAGAGTCCAGGCCATGCAACTGAAATTGTTTATTGAAACCTCAGATCTACAAAAGCATGAAAAACCCAGATACAAAGCAGCAGCCAGAGAGACCTATGAAGAGAACACCCAGGAAAAGGGAAAAGAGAAGTCTGGGAGCAGAGCACTAAGAACACCGGAAGCAAAAGGACAAGGTGGAGGATCCCAGCAGTCTCTGGCTCCATCAAACTACCTCCAAGGGACGGGTGTGGAGAAGGCTGCCCACCTCACCCACCTTCCCTCAGCAGCTCCCACCTTGGCTCTGTCAGTCCCTGACTGGCCTATTTCAAGGACATCACACAGACCCAGGTCAGTGCTTCCTCCCTTCCTCGCCCCACTTCTCCCAATTCCCACCTTTACACTTCCATCCTAGAGAACTCAAAAGCAAAGGTCTAGACGAGCCCAGGAGCGGTGAAGAGACAGGAGCTTCTCCCCTATCTGTGACAGGCCCGTGGTCACCAAGCTGAAGCATTCCCGGGCACTACCACCACCCCGCCAAGCAGCCAGCTGGTCTCTGAGACCCAGGAGAGTGAGTGACCTTCAGTCCTGCCCCACAACCCCTTAAGCGCCATCATCCAGGACAGGGGACCAGCCAAGGACCCAGAAAGGTAGAGAGGATCTAAATCAAGCCTTGTCCTCCAGGTTCTCAGGAACTCCCAGCCTCTTAGAGCACTCTTCAAAGCCCTTCCTAGCCTGGGAAAATGAAAGACTTGAGGCGGGCCAGCTCCATGATGCTGAAAAGGGAACACTGCTGGGGTTGGGGCAGCAAAGAGGGCATCGGGCTCCAGGGCCAGGGTGGAGCCAGGCCCTGGGTGCGGTACCAGGGCTTGGGGGGGCCAGTGGGGACCGTACGATTGGGGTGGTGACAGGCTCGGCAGGTTGGGGAGTCCCGCTGGAACTTCTGACAAAGGGGGCAGTGATGGAGAAGAGTGGGAGGGGCAGGAGGGTCAGGAGGAGGCAACGGTGGGGGAGTCAGTGAGGCCAGGAGACTTCCCCAGAGTGAACGCAGCCTGACATCTCCATCCTGGCAGCTGGAGGCGTTGGCAGGGGGTGGCAGGCACTGTGGCGGGAGGGAAGGTCCGCAGCGTTCCAAGAGGCACCTGGAGGTCAGTCCGAGGTGCGGGGGGCCGTGGTGGGGGCGACAGGGCAGCCCCAGTGATTGGTTTATTACAGCCACTGATGCCACAGCCAGGGCCACACTGCTCACATACGCCACGGCTAACAGGCAGGACAGCTGCAAAAGAGCCGGTTAAGAGAGGTAAGTGCTCAAATCCCCCTGCCCCCAAACCTGCTTTGGACTCCCTGTGAGAGGCCCTGCCTCACCCTAAAAGCCTCTGTTGTAGTTAGAACTCACTGTTAGAACTACCCCAGATCCCCTTCCCGAGCTTCTCAGCATCTGGTTTCTAACCCTCCCTACACACCAGCACGCCCAATCCCCCTCTTTCCTGCCTCCCCCTCACCTTTGCCAGTCGCTGGCACAGGGAGCCCAGGGCCAGCTGCCAGGCCGGCTGCTCCAGAAGCACGCTCAGGTCTGTGTAGGTGTACCAGCCCCGCCGCCGCCCCTGCTGCTCGGCCACACTGGGGGAAGGGAGCAAAGCCAGACTGTCTGCAACTCTGCTGCAGCCAGTCCAATCGCTTTTTCCCCTGGGGGCCGCTCGGGAAAACTGGCGCATGTTAGAAAATACAAGTTATCCACCTGTTGCTCCAGAAAAGGAGGGTGACATCAAGGTCTGTGTTTAAATAAGCTTCTCCCTCCCTCCCGGAGTGATTATGAAGAGGGCTGACAGGCCAGGGACCACAACCTTCTATCTCCACAGACCCTCTCTGCTGAGCTCCTCTGGCTCAGGCCTCAGCCCCCGCTCCCTGAGCCCCCTTCCAACCTCAAGAACCTACCAGCCTTCCAGCCAGTTCAGCACCTCAAAGATCTCCCGTGGGTCAGTGTAGAGACGCCAGTCCTGTGGGGGAAGGGAGGGCACCAAACCAAGCTCAGAGTTGAGCCAACCATAAGTGCTCTTGATGACAAGAGCCGCAGCAGCAGCACAACCACCACCATGTCTGACGCCTGCTGGCACTGAATACGTGCCGGGTACGACTCCAACAGCGTCTACGTATCGACGCATCCAGTTACCACGTTATACCCTCCTTTACGGTCAAAGGGGGAAAATAACCCTGAGAATGAGCCAAGTCCATTGAGAGCTCAGAGTGGGGGGGGTTGGGTAGGGAGGGGGCACAGAAAGTCTGGAAGCAAAGGCTATAATTGGTCCAAAAAGGATAGAAAAGAAAAACATTAACAAGGACTGACCCAAAAAGAATAGGCAGAAAGAGAAATAAAGAGAAGATTGAGAAAATATATAGGATGAAGGGAACATAAACATGGCCCATGGAAATGAAGCAAGGGAGAGAAATGCTACTCACCATGGCACTCAGGAAGCCCCTTTCCAGGGCATTGAGAGTGGGCACGGCCACACCCCCTGCAGCTCCCCATTCATCATTGAAGACTTCCTCTTCCTCCCCTTCATCATAGAGATACTTACTGGCCACCATCTGCAAATGAGACAGAGAGTGTTGCAGAGCTGGCACGGGGACTCCGGGCTCACAGGGACAGAGGGGTTAGGGCACCTTACCATAGAGATCAGGAACAAGTCTGAGGAGGACACGTGCTGTAGGTAGTCAGGGTTTCGGTGCCGGAGCCGCTCAATGTACACGAGAGCGAGCATCATAGCGCACGGGGAGATGCACGCCTCCCTGGCAGGTGGAGAGGGCCAGTAATTAAACCCAAGGGTCTTCCAGCTCTCCTGACTCATGACACTCATCCCTGGGTCTTTCCATCATCTCCTTAGAGATAACCACTGGCCCGCTAGGGTCCAAACACTTTCATCCTGCCCCCCAATTTCAGGCTCACCGGGACACGTGAGCAACGTATTTCTTCTGGAGTCGGCGAATAGGGCTTGGGGCTGCTTTCTGGAGGAGTTCCACAGCAATGTCTGCGGGGGAGGGGGTGAAAGAAAAGCAGAGTGAGCAGATAACTCCCCCCATGAATCCTCACTGCTATCGGCAGAAGATTCAGATCTATATTCTCTGATGCTCTGGGGACAGAGTCACGGTGATCAAATTCTCCTGTACTGAGACAAAAAACCCAGTTCCAAGTTTGAGTTTCAGTTCCTTCCAGTTTATTTTCCTGTCACCTGAAATTACATAGCTTTGTTTTTCCACTCTTGCTCATTTGAAAAAACAAACATGCCTTGTTTATTTGGGAAACATGATGGATCCCCTTGAAAAATTAAGTGTTTAATATACTGATCAAGTGATAAAGACCTGACAACTAGCAGTGTTTTTCACTCATCTGGGCTTTTTAAAACATGCAAACTATGAAATGGATCCTTATGCCAAGTACCAATGAGCTAGCTATGAAGAGACTGTGTAGTTCACAGGGTGCACCTAGAGTCATGCCAGTGAGGCTAACAACCCCTTTTCAAGCCCTCTACCTGCCCAGTAGTACACCAGGGTCTCACCTGCCACTGGGCTGGAGAGCTCCTCCAGGCTACAGTCACCTTCCCAGTCCCAGCCATAGTAGAGTCTCCTCCGGATCCGGGCACTCAGCTTCTGGTGTCCTGGGAGGAACTGAAACAGGGCAGGCGAGTGGTGGAGGGTGAAGGGCGGGGAAGGGTGGAGAGCCGGGCTCAGGGTTGGAAGGGGGGTGAGAGGCGCCCGCCCGTGCCCCACCTTCTCTGGATTGTTTGCGAAAGGCAGCCAGTCCGGGGGGGAGGGAGCCTCCTCCGATGAGGGATTCCCTTAAGGGATTCTCCGAGAAAGATCCAGCCGGCCACCCCAGCCCCATTCCGATACCCCGCGGCTCCCCCTCAGGGCCCAAACAGCCGGGGCCTCGAGTAGACAAGACTCAAGCGGCTGCCTCCCGGCTCTCGGGCAGAGCCGTCAGGCTAGCTCAAGGCCCCGCTCGGGGCCCCAAGGGGAGCTCCCGGGGCCGCCCGCCGCCAGCACCGGGTGGCCGGGGGAGGAGGCGGTCGGGGCCACGAGCTCACCGAGAAGTCCTGGAAGCCGGTGAGAGAAAAGGTGCCTTCTTCGTCCAGCAGGAGCCCGGCCAGGTCCATCGCGCCGCCAGCCGCCGCTCTACGAAGGTGGAAGCCGAGGAAAGGAATTTTAAGGGGCGCGCGGAGGCGTCCGGGTGCGC